TTTTCTTGGAACACAGCCATGCGCTTTCATTTACATATTGTCTATGGCTGATGTCATGCTACAAAGGCAGAGTTGAATCACTGCAACAGAGACCATATGATGTACAAAGTCTAAAATATTTACTCTCTGGTCTTTTACATAAAAAGGGTGCTGACCTTTGGTCTAGCAGAAGAAAAAAGAAAAGTTGCAGTTAATTATTTTTAAAGTGAGAGGAGTACAATGATAAATATGTGCATAAAACTATACAGTTTCTTGAGCACTTACAATAGGCCACATTCTATTCTAAATTCTTTCATATGTTAATTCATTTACAGTTGCAACAGCTCTGTGAAGATACATTATTATTATGTACATGAAAGAAAAGGCACAAAAAGGTTAATCATTTGCCTCAGGACCAGGTAGGCTAGGAAGGAGAACAGCCTACATGCAGCCCACGAAGTCAGGGTTCACAGTCCTCCCTTCAACTGCTGCACTCTTATCCCCAAGGGAGTCACAGAGGGTGCCATGAGAGCCCAGACAAAGGTGCTTTACCCAGTAATAAAAAAGGACTTCGGGAAGGAGATTCCTGAGCTGAATCTTGAAAAAGGAGTTCCAGAGTAAAATTTAGCCAAAATTGGGGTATTGGAAGTAAAAAGCAGGTACAGGCTCACATGTAGAAGAGGTGCAGAGAACTATAAACACCTGAGCTTTTCTGTATTGGAAAATATGAGACAGGAGTGATGAGAGCTGCACATGCCTTGCTGAAGGGCAAGGGCCCTATGCCATAGGTGAGGAAAAGCCCCCAAGGAGTGTGAGGTTGAAGACAGTGACAGGGTCAGGGTCCTATTTGACACTGACCACTCTAGAGACCCTGAAAGGACATATTTGAGGACCAAAAAATGAGATAGATGAGACCTGTTAGGAGTTTGATCTGAATCAGAACATTAGTGGTAGGAATATGGGGGAAAATAAAACCAGCTAAACTAGTTAGAAATGGGGGAGGAGAAGAAGGGAGGAGCCCGGGTCTCCATTCTGGGTGACTAGGGCTTGAATGGTGGCCCCGCCATCTGCAATGGGACAAATGAGAAGTATCCCAGATCACAGGGGCAGACAATGAGTTCAGGTTGGACACATTGGGTTCAAAGGAACTGTGGAACACTCAGCTAGAGGTACCACAAAATGGATGGATGAAGTTTGGAGTTGAGTTGTTCAAGATCCAGACTTGGAGTAAGCAACATATAGGTGGTAATTAAAGTCATGAGAGTTGATGGGATCAACCCAGGGAAGGATGCAGTATGCAAAGAACAGTGAGAAAAGAAAGGAATCCTGTGCAGAACCAACATTTAAGTGGCATAGAAGGAAGACGAGCCCAGGGAAGAGACAGGAGAACAAATAGTCAGAAAGGACCAGGAGAGTTCAGGGTGAGAAGCACTCTTGTGGATGACTGTAGGAAGGAGGAATTGAACAAAAATGTCAATTGTAGTAATAAGGACGGAAAAATACTCACTAGAGGTTTTGGGGACATTCTCAAAAGTCTTTGTAGTAGAATGGTGGGATAGACATTGGGCTGAAGAATAAAAAGAAGAGAAAATTTTATGGGATTAAAGCAGGTGAGAGGCTGTTTGTTTGCTTCTGTTTAGGATGGAAGAGACATAAGCACACTGAAAAGCAGAAGGAGAAAGGCAAATGGAGTGGGAGCTGAAGATAAGGGTGGGGTGGCCGATGGAGCAAGGCCCAGAGGTGGTGGTAAGGGGGCATGTGTGAGGAGCCCCTGGACAAGAAAGATACCTCATCCTCAGAGATTGGGGGACAGGATGGTGTGGTCATGGGGTGAGAAGTCACAGGCTCTCACTTGTAATTAATGTAATTTTCTAGATGAATCAGGGCATAAAGTAGGAGGCACAGCCACCAGCATAAAAGTGAGGGGAGCAGATGCCAAATGGAGGCACATGAGGAGTGTGGTGAAGGTCTGAACTCTCTACCAACCTGGCCAAGGACAAGGGAAGGCTCGATGGACTGCCGAGGCAGGTGGTCATGAATTTGAATCCTCGTTGGTTTGAGTGGTCCTTTGGCTTTTCTCCAACATCACTTGGTGGCCAATAAATAAATAAACAGGAAAACATTTTGTAATTACTCTGTAGCTCTGTCTGTTTTCATGGTCCCTACCCTATAGTCCTCCTCTTCAGTTCCTCTACAGACAGAAATTATGGCGGAGAAAGCTTGGGTAGTTAGGATGAGCATAGTAGCAAGCGTGGGGCATATGGTGCACTTGGGGAAGATGGAAAGAAGAGTACTGATACCCAAGAGCCTTACGTGGCAGAACCATGAAAGGTGGTGTCCACACGGGCACTGACAGCATGGTGTGTAGAAACGTGAGAGATGCCCAGATGAGGGGTGAGCTGGAGGGAGGAAAATTGGTGGCAGGGTTTGGGAGGGTTCTGGTGGGTCCCTGTGCTCTCTTTTGGCCTGTGGCATCCTGTTCAGAATATCTCATCCTCACTTTCCCCACGGCCTCTGTCCCATTTCAGCAGGCTGATGTCTGGGATCCTCCCTCCTCTGCTGTTGTGTGTCCTGTGTCCTGGACTTTTCCTCTTGAGTAGCCCTTTGCATTGTAGCCAACTCTTAGTAGCCCTTTGCATTGTAGCCAACTCTTAGTCTGTAAAGATTGTTACAGACCCACAATCTTTGATGTCTGATGCATTTTTTTTTCTCTCTGTGCAGTGCCTTAAAAAATCAAGGGTTTGAAATCATTGAGAGGGGTGAAATCGAAGTGAAAGGTAAAGGGAAAATGACCACATACTTTTTGATCCAGAACTTGAATGCCACAGAGGACGAGATCATGGGGAGATCTAAAACCCCACTTGATCACAAGGGTAAGCAAAAAAGAGAAGCTTTGCCGTTAGTGTTGAGTAGTTTTTCCACTAACCACCTCAGATATGTTTAGTATCTGCAGGGTCAACACAGATGGTGTCCCTGCCCACCACCAAGCTCCAAGACTCAGTTCAACCATCTTGCCCTGAACACTCTTCTCTTGTATCCTGGTTATGATGATGTTCTTTGAGCTGGGCCGATAAATCCAGCTGAAGAGTTCTACACACATTTGTCTTAAGGTTCTTCTCTGGGCGTTTCCCATGCAGCTCTCTGGTAGCTGGGGAATGATTTGTGAGTGCATCCTCTGCTCCCCAGCCTCAGAGGCTCCAGCACAGGCTGGAACATTTTGCCTTTCACATTTTGTTCTAGCTTCCAAAACTGGGATGAGGGACAACATTTGTGACTCACCCAGCTCCAGGAATGACAAGAGGGTGGCAGTTTAGGGTAAAACAACCCAGTGCTAAGCTGGACCGGGGATTACTGTGTGGCTCATGGTACCCCCAAAAAGAAGCTGGAATCCAATGGCGAGGTCTCCATCAGCTGCAAGGCTGATCAATCCCACACACTCAGGGTCCCTTAGCTACAGCCTGGCTGAGACAGAAGTGCTGACCTGAAGGGGAAACCCGGTAGCAGGAGGCAAGCCTTTCTGAACCTCCAAGAAGGGAATGAATTCCTTCTGGCATGAACTAATCTGTAGCCACTCCAGAGGCCCACAAGGGGAATCTCAAAGTCCAGAGATCCCTTATTTACACAGCTATTATATGCAGTATGTCTCTCTGGGACATGTGGATTATGATGACTATTTTTTAAAGTGGGACTATCCCAAAGAAAAGATGGATTATTTGAAGAATGTTTAAAATTGTTGTCATCATGCTTTCATTCTAATATCAGCTCACCTTAGTATCCCTGTGAGTTATAGTTGGTTTAGGTCACATTTTACTGCTGTAGACACTGAGATACAAAAATCTAAACAAAAAACAAGAAATAACTTTGGCAATAAGGACCAGGAGCAGTCCTCACTAGAGCTTTTAGCCCCAGAATTTCCAGGCTCTGGGCACCTCATCCACTGATATCTCCTGCTCACTCTCACCCACCATCATGCCAGCCCCACAGTACAGAGGGTTTCTAGAGAGAAGTCAAACGAACTTCCCCCCTTTTCTCTTCTTTGTTGTCAAGAAATGGACAAAGTAAAGTGGGGAGAGGGCATCATGCCACGTGATCATTGGAGAGGGGAAGGCAGGGCTGGAGGCTTTGCCACAGGACAGGGCAGATGGGTCTCAGCTGTGCCTGGCTCTAACTGCACACTGCTCTCTCCCACTCGTCCGCTGAGGGTTCCCACACTTCTTAGAGAAACAGTATTCTGGAGCAAGGTCTGAGTCAGTAGAATCAAACCCACTTTCAGTTCTGAGCTAGGGAAAAGCAACCCCGAGTAGAAAGTGAGGAAGGGTGCCTTAACCGGGAGCCCTCAGAATGGAGCCTGAGAAAGAGGAGGGAGGGTGGGTGTGAAAGGAGGGCAGGAGATAGCAGCCCCCATCCCCCGAGGCCCCAGTCAGTGTCTCTGCAAATTAAGAACAAGGACCCCTTTGTGGGCTATGGGGTCGACAGCCCCCAGACATGGCTTATCGTAGAGGAAAACCCTCTGTGTGGGCTGAGGTCAGTCCTCACCCTGAAACCCTTGGCCAGGTGCCTCTATGTAGAGAAAACTGCACAAACATATATGTGGTCCCAGGAAGGAAGGATCCCAACCCTTTTCTTTTCATGCTTCTGTGCATTTCCCAGTCCCTGCTCCCTTTCCCCAGCAGCCTTGGATTTCCTGCTGTGAGCCTCAGCCCCCAGGCTCTGGGGGAGGGTGAGTCTGTCTCTCCTTGCCTGCCTTCATCTGCCCTGAGTGCAGCACGGGGCGGGGGGGGGGTGGGGGGGGTGGAGGGGGGAGGGCGGGGGGGGTGGGGGGAGGGCGGGGGGGTGGGGGGGAGGGCGGGGGGGGGAAGGGGGGGGCTCCATCAGGAAGGCCAGGCACTCTCAGGGGAGACCTCATGCAGATACTGCTTCCTAAGGAACCCCATTAACTTCCGGGGGCCGGGGTGTTTTCTCCCAGTGACCACTGACAGCTCCATGAGGCAAGATAGAGCCTCTCAAAGACAGTGAGGGGAGGGGCATGGAAGCACTATTATGTTCACTGATACTCTTTTCACATGGGTCTATTCCCTCAGATTATCTCCCACGGGACACACACTATGTTTTGGGGGGTGGTTACTTAGGGAGGAGCAGGAGTGAGGGCACTTCAGTGATTCTAAGGTGCAGTCAGCATTAAGAACTATGTCTTAGACCAAAACAATGCAGAAGAAAGGGCCCTACAGGGTCTTCCTTGTGCCCCACTCCACCCTAGCCCAGACAGACCCAGAAGGTGAAAGGAACAAGAAAGGATAATGTCCAGGAGAGCTCTTCCTCAAATGAGCGTCCTCTCCTCCACTTTGTTCTCAGACAGTGCATTTCCTCGTTCTAGGCAATGAGTACATGAAACATGTTAAATGTCCTTCAGCGTCCCCAGCACGACATCCAACAGCTGGAACTTCCATCCAGTCCTTCACATGATGGGCATCTGTGGGAAACCTGCCAGGGGCAACCGATGTTCAGAGGCATCCAAAAAAAGTCTCCCACTTCGGCCGCCATGAAGCCCACTCATGCAAGCATCCTCACTTTTCCTTCCTCTCATGGTTTCTTTGCAGAAGCAAGTGCTCAGGGAAATCAAGACAGGAGAACGGTCATGAGCTATGCCGACAGTCAGCAGCTGATCCCCGACAGAGACACAGCAGACGCAGACGGTGAGTACAGCAGGCCTGGTCTAAAATATTTCCAGCCCTGCGTTGCTCCTAAAGACAATCGGACCCTTCAGAGGTCACTTCGTGGGCAGTGAGAAAGAGCTGGGAAGGGATAGCACAGCTCGTGTTTGGGGTTCTGGGGCAGGATGCTACTGACTTGCTCGCTGTATTTTGAATAAACTGTTGTTTTGAGCACCCCCATCCCAGGTGTCCCAAGGGATCTCATTCTGGCAGGGCCTTCTATACTCGCTTCCAAAAGAATCTCTAATAGCAGAAAAACGTATTACTTTCTGTGCATCCACCAAATGTGCGTCCACCAAAGTTTCTCTGGACAGCGTAGCCCTCAGTAGCTTGCCTTGTCTTACTAAGGAGAGCTGAGACTTCCTCTTCCCGCACTATCTGGTGCTTTACAGAGACCTCAGGGCAGAGTAGCCCAGTTACCCTCTTCTCCACTTTGTCCTGAGGGTCGTAGGGACAGGAGGGTTTGCTTAATTCATGCTTATCTGGATGGCCTTGGCAGTCATTCAGCTCCCTCAGAGCCAGAGCCATTCTCAGGACTGACAAGGCTTGGTTTTGAGTATGGAGTCACAAAGTAATAATGAAGAACCAGGGATGGGTGGACAACAGGAACCCCTGTAGCAGCAGCTCCCCCATCCCTTTCTAGAACCCCTATGCTAGGTGATCCATGTGGAGTTAAGTGAGGCTCGGCCACAGTATATGTTTGTTAGAGGGGATCACATCTCCTGCATTTTCTAAAAACTATCTCTAGTCACTGAGGCAATTTCTTAAGACAAATAAAACGATCCATGTGATGAGTTAGAACAGCTTAATAATCCATATAAAAAGTCCAGCTCTCATTATCTTTACTAGACAATATCTCTAAAGTTGAGTGTTGCTTGAGCCCTTGGTATTGGCACTGCCCTGATGGCTAAAGGCTTCCCTCTAGCTTCATCCTAGAACCTGAGGTTGAGGGAATGAATAGCAGCCTTCTGTTCATTTCAGGTGAGAGGAGACAGAGCAAAGCTTCTGTCACTCTGATCCTGGGGTCAGACGGACGTTCGAATTCTGGGACATGAGAAGCTCAAAGCAAAGTTTTTGCCTTTGCCTGGAGGCATTTCCCTCCCGTCCCCACTCCTCTCCTTCCTGGAGTTGCATGTTTCTGGCAGTGCCCAAAACCCTGAATAGTTGTCCAACCTATTACAGGATAGAATTATAACACTCATAGATCCATTTGATAGCGTTCCTGGGAAAACTGTTGCTGCTGCAGGAACAGACTAAGCATCTAGTCACTGTCCAGGGATCCGCAATGCTCACTGAACTAAACACGTGAGGTCCCTGCCTTTGGGCAGCTTGTGGTTTAGTAGAGGGAGACAATTAACATGTAACTAAACAAATAAGATCATTCGGGTAGTGATGAATGTTAAGAAAAAAAATAAAACTGATAGAGGGCCAGTGAAGCCTTCTGAGAGGGAGCGGCATTTCAGCTGAGACTTGGATGAAGGAAGAACCCCCATGTGGCTACCTGGGTAGGGGCTTCCAGGCAGTACTGTGCCCAGGGCAGAAACAGCCGTGGCAAGTTCACAGAAGATAAGAAGACCAGTGTGCCTGGGACGGGCTGCAAGAGGAAGGGAGCCACAGGGATGAAATCAGACAGGTGCATGGGCGCCTGGGACAGTCTTGGCCTTGAGACCGCTTTTGACGTGCAAAAAAGCATGAGCATGAAATAAGGGGTAGATGAGGAGGTGCTGGAGCTCCCTGGGGACCTTCAGAGGGAGAATGGCTCTGCCATTTGAATTCCTAAATGGCAGTTCCATAAACAGCTCAGAAGGGAAGGTCTTAAAACTCTTTATGCTCCAGGAAGATGAGTAAATTCATTTTTCAAACTTCTGCTGGGTGGGAGATGGGGAGGTGCCGCCACAGGGACCAACAGAGCTGGATGTCTTGCTTAGAGGTGAGAGACAAAAATTGCACAGCACCTCTTCTAACTGTGGCTTTCCTGGATGGAAAGCAACACTGACAACTAGAGAAGGAAAAAATTGAGGCCACCTCAGATTTGAGGGAAAACTTGAGGGGTCAACTGGTATCTTTTTGGCAACTACTTTGTGCCAGGCATTTTACCCACATTATCTTATTTACACAACAGTTATATAAGGTCCCACAACTAGTAAGTGGAAGAAATAGCATTTGATCTTCATTTCAGACTTGTTTGTCTTGGGCAGATCACATCCCTGTGAGTTAGTTTTGAGCATCAGACCAAGACAATTCCATAGTTTCCCTAAGTGGTAGCCACTGCACTTGAACTGCTTGGGTTGACAATGGCCCAGCCATGTGTCTCTCAGATCCTCCGGGCCCCATCTGAACAGATCTCTGATTGTTCGGTGTGATTAGCAGGTGTTTTAATGAGGAAGCACTCCCACACTGTGGGTGCATGACAGACTGGTGTGCACCAGAGTGCCATTGGACCCAAAGCTACCCGCACCCAGACGTACTGAACCAGAAACTGCCCTTTCACAATGTGCCCCAGTAATTTGAGTTTGAGTTTACCACCGACATGGGTTTCTTCCTTATCTCCAACAGTTGGCAGCAGACATAGAATACAGCAATGGAGGACTCATGCCACCTGCTCATGGGCCCTGCCTCTTCACTGTGGTTCAGGTCCTGGTTCTCATGGGTTTTCAGGTCCAGGTAGGTCTCCTATATCATGCTTAGCTCTGAAGTCAGTGAAGGCTGCTAGAGGGTCACTGTGGGAGCCCCCACCCTCGCCACTACCCCTGGGCCATCCTGCTCGGTCCCTATGTGGGCATCACGATGGGGAAGCATCTCCATCAGTAGCCATGACCTGTCAGGACTCCTCAGAGACCAGCCTGCTTCCCAGGCTCCAGGCAGCTGGGCAGACATTCAAGACTTGCTTCATTCCTCATCTCTGCCACCAACCTCGTCAGGTGGTCACCTGGCTGCCAAACATGATAGGTCTCCAGTTGCACATCCTTCCATCTGACTTGGCTCTCTCGGGTGGGAAACAGGCACTCCTGGCCTCCTCTCTCTGGAGAGGACCATGGATCCTGACAAAGTATCTTAGAATCTTGGTAGCTTGTGCAGCTGCAGTGCACCTAGACTTCTCTCTGCTGGCCAGCTGAGGCCTGGACCTCACCGTCTCTCGACCCTCTTTAAAAAGGGGGCCACATGGAGTCCCTGCAAGGCCCAGCTACCTTCTGCCAGGGCAGTAGGGAGTGCTCAGCGGGACCCAGGCCTGCAGGCTGCACGAAGGACCTCATTTGCACTTCAATAACGTCCTTTTCTTTCACTTAACTATGTATCTTGGTGTTAGATGTGTCAGTGGAGAGACTCCCCAGTGCAATTAAACGGGAGTATTGAGCCGGAGAGAAATCAGTGTGTGTTGACTCAGATATTTAAGCAACCACCTTTCAGTATTGACTCAGAAATTGGCCTTCCAGCTGTCCCTGCTGGCAGACTCTTCTGGCATCTCGTCAGGCCTCTGTTAATGTGTTTTTCAAATTTCAACTTGCTTCGACTTGTCTCCTAACTGATCCTCCTAATGATGATAATAATGGTTTCCAGGCTGACCTGCACACAGCACTTAGGCAAGCAGCCCAGGCGCCTCTCTGGAGGCGACCCCTTCCTTATACATCACAGTCCGAGGGCGGCTGCTTGCTGGGTTCGTGGCAGGTTAAGTCAGCTTGGGGGACTTCTCAAGCACCTCCTAATTATTCCTCTGGAGAACTTGAGTGGTGAGGGTCTCTCTCGTGATGGGGTTAGGCTTTAGTGGTCTGCTGCTGGAGGGGGGCGGGTTGCTGATTCCCTCCAAATTTTACTCACTCTTTCAAACAGGAAGAACTTTCCCACCATTTGCAGTCCCCCTGATGAGTAATTATTGGATGGGTTTGTGGTCACTTAATTGCCAGGGCCCTTGCCCCTTGCTTTGCAGAGACGTGACTATACGAGCACCTTTCCCAGACGTGGCCAATTAGCGGGGGCCCAGCTGGTTTGGAGCCAGGCTTCTAAGGAAGGCTGAGTCCCGGTTCTCAGCTCCGAGGCCTTTCTGCAGCCTCTCTCAGGCTTTCCTAAGTGCGGCTGTCAAACTTTGCTGACCTTTCCCCCTTGGGGCTAATGAGTGTCACAGCCATTTTTAACCTTGGGTTTTCTAGAAGTTGAGCTGTTAACCTAGCTCCTACAGAAGGAGGATCCTGGGAGGTGTAAGTGAACTCTTCACACACAAGGAGGTGACTAATGGAGGAACATAGGATTTTCAGTGTCAGGGCTAGCCTTGAAGTTTTGCATTGACACCCTTGATAACATCGACCAGATGTCAAATCAGAGCTGGTCAGCACAGGCAGCATGGGTGGGAGGGTAGCCGGATCATCTGTGGAACAACTCGTTGACAGTATAGATGGCTGAGCCTCACCTGAGAGGGATTTGGCAGGTCTGCAGTAGGGCTGTGACTGGTTCGTTAACCAACTTTATGGGGGATTCTAATGAGTCAACTGGCTTGGGGATCACCATCGTGATGGAAAGAGCATTAGACTGAAATCAGAATTCCAGGTCCTGGCACTGAGTGACCTGTGTGTTACTATGGGCAAGTCCTCTTCAAGCCATTTTTCTTATCCTGAATGCAGGGGTAATGGAGGGCCTTCTTCACAGGGTTGCTTTGAGAAATAGATGAGATACTATGTAGCATCTGAAAACAGCAGAGCATCAGGTGTGCGGACTGCTGAGTCACTTGTGCATTTGTTCGCTTAACAAATATATGGGTCTTAACACAAAACTGTAAGAGGTACTGCAGAGGTGTTTTTTGTTTGTTTGTTTGTTTGTTTGCTTTTTGTTTTTAAAAGTACAATCTGTTGCCTGCAAAGAGCTTCAGATAAATGGGACAGAGGAATCCACATGGGAAGTCAGGATCTCAGCCTTGTGCAGGGCGCTCCAGCGTGACAGTGTGCACAAGCGATGCTGAAACACACACTGGGATTTGGAAAACCTCTTAGACAAGGTGCATGCAACAGCAGAAATGAGAATAGGCAAGGATCTGCTCTCGTCTCTGGAAAATGTGGGGACTTCTGGAAGCTGGGAATTTATTTCCTGCACAGCATGGCCTCTTTTGCCCATGGATAGAAAGAGGCAAGCAGGTAGGGTGATCCCAGAACAGCCACCCCTCCCCTCATCCTGGAAATGCCATTGCACTCTTTGTATCACTAGGGAAGAAGTCTACACTCACTCGTAGAGTTTCCCCTAAAATTTCATTTTTGAAATTTGTGTCTCTTTTCTCTGTTCACACTTCCCCTGTCCTTTCTCTGGGATGACGGTGAATGCTGGGAAAACTGAGATGGAAGCAAGCGGGAGGGGTACAGAGCTCTGTACAAGTGGAGACCACACTGAGCAAAGGCCAGTCCAGGGTGGGGAGAGAGGTGGGACGGTGGCACAGGCCCTGTGCTGTCAAGGACCAGGATTGGGTGAAGCCATGGGTGGGGTGAAGCCATGGTGGTGCAGGGCCCTGGAGACAACTGAGCGTCTGATTTCAGGCTCAGGCCAAACCCTCCACCCCAGTCATGGAGAATCAGTGTTGAAACCAAGATGTGGTCTTCCATATCTTATTCTGTTTAGAAGGTTAGAAACAGATGCAGAAATGCTATGAAGGGATTATCTTAATGGAAAATGCAAGAATCCTTCTTGTAACCCCATATCATATCGTGTATGACTCATAGAGCCTGCCTATGATAACAGGTGATGATCCACATCCCACCTCTATTCCCCAAGGCAACAGCATTGCCTCACATTCCATGTTGCTATTGCTGCAGCCACTACCACCCCCAACTCCCCAGCCTCCAAGTTTGTGTTTGACAATCTTATGTGATAGGTGTTTTCCAAATGGGAAGATTTCTTCTGCAACCATTCTTTTCATTTAATCTGTTCTTGATCTATATTGAGATAGATTTCTGTGCTGATTTTAATACTGAGCTATGTTATTTGTCCAATTAAAGACTATTTGTTTATTTGTGTTGTAGAAGAAATATTTAATTTTTAATAAGTATGGATAAACCAAAAGAAGAAAACAAAAGCACTTATAATTACATCACCCAGAGAGACTACTATTAAAATATGGGTCATATCTTCCCTGACTTGTGTATGGGAGGTTGTGTGTATGTGTATACATACATGTTTTTTCTTACAAAAATGGAATTGTCATGCATATACTGTTTTGTAATCTGGAAGGTCATGAATTTCTTTCCTTTGAACATTTAAACACACATTAATACTGAGGAGAAAAATTTTAAAAAGATATAATGTGCTTCACATGGTACCCTTATTTCCCATGTGACTTGTGCTATTGCATACCCCCAAACCACTTTTACATTGTACCAAATGAAAATCCCAATTATCTTATACTACCCACATCTACAACACATCTTTGGTACCCTCGATGTTCCATGAGTCCTGAAGTTTCCTCTAAAATTTCCAAGAATGACTAAACTTGTTCAAGTTAGCTTTGGTGTTTAGAGTATCCCAGGTGTCTAGATGTCAGCAACCCATGGAAGATATACCTTGTAAGTTCTATTAATGGGAAAATGTAATTAACCAGAAGGCTACATTTCCCAGCTGTGCACAACAGTGAGCATTAACTGTAACAAAATGATGGTGCTCATAGGCAGTCCTTGGGGGTTGTGAGCAATGGTCTTGTGGGAGCGAAAGATGATGGATGAGAATTTGTCTCAAGTAAACAAAATTCTTCCACCATCTGGGCTGTGGAACTGAATTGGAGTAGAATGTCAAACATATATGTGTGAAAATTCCAAGACAGCCTTGCGGTTCTGTGCTGACCAAGTCTTGTTTGAATTGTCAGAGGTGTCAACTCAAATTGATGGAGTCAGGTTTGGCTTGTCCAGCTTTCACTGTGCTGTGTCAGTTCATTTTCTCAGCACAATCCTAGCTGATTGTCCTATCTGTTGTCTGTTCACTCTTTAGGGAGAGAAAAGGGGAAGAGGAAAATGAATTTAAAGGAAATAGGAGTAGAAATGGAGGAGATGGAAGATCCAGTTAAGATACAAGTGAGAAAAATGAAAAATGGACAGGCTAGAAGAGAGAAAAATGTGCTATGAGGCAGGAGAGATGAATCAACGCTAAAAAGCGACATTTCTGAGAAGAGAAATTGCAAGGGGGAAAAACTAAAGAGTGTTGAATAAAGAGGAGACGAAGAGATCTGTAAAATATTATTTCCTAGTGTTCAGCTTACCTCCAAAATACCTTATGAGAGGTTAGGCCAGAAAATAGATTATTCCTCTTGGTTACAAAGAAATCATGGTGCTCTCAGGAAGCAAGAGCAGATCATGAACATAGCCTGACAGCTGCTGGGTACAGGGAATGGTTTCCTTTATCGTATTTCCACTCATTTTAGCAATTCCAGCCTTTTCCAGCTCAGTTTTCAGTTTTTACTAGAGTAACCTCCACTTTTCATACAATTACAAAGATACAAAACAAATAAGTTCTGGGATCACAACACTTTTGTGGAGATTCTTTTCTCTCAAAGATTCTTATAACATTTCTTTGAGTTGAGGGGGAGACAGATGTGTTGAGTGGTGTTGTTTTACATCTGGAGAAACTGGGGCACAGAGGAGTATTGAGGGGGAGTTCAGCTGCCCTTTGTAGTGCTGATGGGTGGTGATGGATGTGGAGGCAGATGACCAAGTCTTCTCAATAGAAAAAAATTACACTTCCATCTGTAATCAACTCATTTTTTCTCTGTTTGCTACGATGACAAAACAAAATGGAACCCAAATTTCACAAATACACTATCCTTATCATTTAACCTGCGTGTTCCCATTTTTGAAAATCTTAGTTCTAATTATAATAGTTTTTACATCTCAAAAATACAATACTGCAGTAAACTCCATAATTCAAAATGAGATAAGGGTATTGGGAATAACAAAATTAGTAGAGAATCAGCAAAAAGCAAAAACAAAACACCCTGTATCTGAGTAAGTAACAATTTCCAAAGAGCATAAAATACTGCTGAATATAATTCAGTTTGTGTGTGTGTGTGTGTGTGTGTGTGTGTGTGTGTGTGTCAGAGAGAGACAGAGAATACGTAATAGCAATCAAATGAATCTATAGCTAATGACATCTGTACTTAGCTAACTCTGGTTGGGCCACACCCTATAAGATGTCATAATTGAGAGTTTCATGAACCTTGATTCCTTTTCGGATTGGCCCCAATCTATGCATAAGCTAAACGCTTCCTGTAAATCATTGCTGGAAATTGCCTCAGTGACATGGCCCTACATGTTCCAGGAACCCCCCTTTCTCTGCTCCAGGGCCCTCTCTCCAATTTTCACCTCATTCTGGGCCTGAGACTGAGATGAGACTGGGGAGAGGTCTGGTGCCCCAAATTTTCCACATGTACGTCATCACTGACATTCCTCAACGAGCAGTGCATTAGCGAATGGGGCCTGTTTCAGTCTCATCGTTTGTGCTCTTAGGATCTTAAAACAAAACTGATCACTAATCCAGGTTCAGGAAGAAGTCTGAGGTGCTAACAGCCTCTAATAGTGAAAAAAAAGTCATCCATTATTTTGGGAAGATAAGGCCGAAGACAGGAGCCCCTCTTGATTTCCCACTTTCTGTAACACTAGATATACATGAGCCTCAGACCTAACACATGCGACTTTCTGAACTTGAATGTCTCTGTGACAATGATTTATATTTTTAAAAAGGAAATGGGAATGATATATGACTTTAAAATCTTAGACGCTGCCCTTCCAAATGAAACTGCCCGGAACACGGGAGGAGATAGATTCAGTGTCCTCCACCCAGCCTCCATCCCATTCCTTCTCTGATCCCACTCTCTCTCTCTTGCCTTGGTTCACAGTCCTGGAGGCAGTTTTTCTCCAGGGCCTTCTCCCAGGGTTCCCTCCCATGCTTAGAAATACTAATTGGCATCTTTGAGTTTGTGCTTTGTGGGGCATTGTGTGAATCACTTGGTATAAATCATCTAGTTTAATGATCCTAACAGCCCTGGGAAGTAGGTGTTATTTCCCCATTTTTCAGATGAGGAAAACTGAGGCCCAGAGAGCTTCAGTAACTCATCCAGGGTTACAGGGCAAGTAGTGGCAACCCTGGCTCTGACCTTCAGCCTCCGTGTCTGCTGCTCAGAACTCACAGACAGTCACAGGCCAGAAGACAAGGAGTCTTGGTGCTATTGTGTGATTTATGTAGAAGCAAAGATTTGGGCATGACCAAAAAGATGGCACAGGGCAGTTCAAGGAAATCATAGAGCTACAAGGCAGTGGTCTGTCTGGGCTGTTTGGCCTTGGCTGTGAAGACTTCTTCCTGTCCAGGGTCACGCTGAGTAGAAAAGGAGGCACATAGTGTCCACACGTGTTCCCCAGGGTCTGGCCCAGACAGACAGTCTGAGGCTCCATCACTTGCTCACTCCTCTGTGTTCTTTCAGCTCCTGACGAAACCATCCCTGTGGGGAGTGCAGGGGCAGATGGGGACTCCATGGAGGCAGCCGACCTGCGACAGCCTTCAGTTCCGACAAAGACACATCACCTTGCAAATGACACTCTGCCGTCTGGTTTCTGTGTTTTGTTGTAACAGGTTAAATGAACCCCTGGGCTTAATTTTCCCCCTACTTAGTTCTGTGGCAGCAAAGAAAAGTGACTTCTTTTCATTTCTCAGCTCAAAACTTCTTAAGCTGTGTCTCTTCCTCATCACCCCTTTGAGAATAAAAGTCTAGAAATGAAACACAATCCTGACAAGTTTGGAAAATGTGCTTTTATAGTCTTAGTTCAAAGCCAACCCTAAACTTTGAGATTTTGGGTCAAATTTGTTCTCAGAGATGTAAGTTTGGCCTTGAGGCCTATTTCTGTCTTCTTCTAACAGGAATGAATGGCTTCAAGTTCTCATCACTATGGTTCCACTGAACTTTTGCCTGAAGAAGAGCCCCAGTGGCTGACACCCTGACTCTGGAGGCTCACCTCGTTTTAAAGGGTGGTGGGAAGGAGAAAGGGAGGAGGAGGGGAAGGGGTGGGGGGGGGAGGAGGAGGAGGAGGAGGAGGAAAGACACCCAGGCTCTGCAGTTTATAAATCACCCCAGAACACAGCCGGGCTGTGAAAGGCACTTAGCCAGAAGTTGTGAAAGGAAATAATTTTCATTCCCAGCCCTGGGAATTGCGTGAAGCAACAGAACAAAAGCTGCATTCCCCAGAGATTTTCTGAAAGTAAAATGAAAGGGAAAACATGAAAATCACCGGAAAGGCAGAGTTAGGAAAGCTAAGGAAAGAAGGCAGAGTACAGCCAAGACACCCAGGTCCTTTGGCCGGTTCCTCTCCTGCTTCCAGCTGTAGGTACAGAATGCCTTCTGCAAAGAGGAGTGTTGGAAATGTTCTCAGAGGCCACCCGAACAAGGGGAGGAGAGGCCTGAGATGGGGCTATGCATCTGCATTTCTTGATGATAAGAAAATACGTATTTTTTTGACCTAGACATTAAAGAAAATCTTAAGGGCACACAGGAGCTTGTGATCCATTTAAGCTAGTACCTTACTTGTCCCAAGAGGCATTAATTGTCTCAGCAGTTCCCAGGAGGGCACAGGCAGGACCTAGCTCCATCTTCAGCCAATCCCAGGGCCTGGAGACAAAGGGAAAGTGACAAGAGGTGAATTCCTTGCTCTTTCTAGAGAGCAACTGTGTCTTGTGTCTAGAAATGGACAGGTGTGACCTGCAGTCCAGCAGGAAACGGCAAGCTCAGATTAGACAAAGTGCAGAGTCAAGAGATGGGGGTTCTTGCCCAAGCTTTACCACCTGATACACCAGCTATACAATGGGGTTAGTGACAGCTGCCCCACCTATCTCACAGTTTTATGTGTGCATGTGTGTGTGTGTGAGAATTCAGTGAAATACAAGAGCACAAGATAATGACAATGCTCACAGTAGTAGTAACCACAGATGCTCCTCAACTTATGATGAGGGTTCTGTCCAGATAAACCCATTGTAAGCTGAAAATACAAAAATGCATCAGGTTTATATCCTGATAAAATGTTTATATCCTGATAAACCCATGGTAAAGTTGAAACTGTAAATCAAACTATCATCTTAACTCAGATGCTCCTTGACACACGACAGGATTACTTCCCAACAAACCCACTGTAGAGTTGAAAAACTGTTAAACCATCAGGGTACCATCTGTACTAACATTTATGGAGCCTCAACCACATGCCGGGCACTGGCCTTGCATGCATGTATGTTACACATTACTTCTGCTCCTGACAGCAACCCTATAAGACCACTATCCCAGTCCTTCCTTGACAGATAAAGAAATGGGAACTCAGGGAGACTTAGTAGCCCAAGATGGCACCACTGGTGAGCAGCCAAAACAGGGAGCCTAAAGCTCAGTTATTACACCATCAAAAGAGGCGGGAAAGCCTGGTGGTATGGACCCGGGACTAGCTGTGCAACTTTGGCAAAGTTGCTTAACATCTCTAGGACTTGGCATTCCATTTGTAAAACAAGGATAATCAGAGAACCTGCCGCATAGGGCTGTCATGAAGATTACATGAAATGTACACAAAACACTTAGAAGCAGGGCCGACACGTTGGTAAGCGCTCCTTAAACGCTAGCATTTTACAATTTTCTTAAATGCTCCTACTGAGTGACTGATCTCCCTGCTTAAGTGGAGGCAAGGAACGATGATGGAGCTCACACTCTTGTTACTTTAGTGATATGGTTTCCTTCGAAATCCTTAGCTCTGCTGTGAGTGAGAATCCTGTACAGAACAAAGAACCTGTTATGTGGTAGCATTGCCTGGGAGATAAAGAGCAGAACCGTTTTTTGGTGGGGTGCTGGCTTTCCGTTTCATTTTTAGAAAGAAGAAAAGCCAGAGCCTGTGGTTTTAGCCCCCAGCTGGCAGCTTGCTTTGCTTCCTTGGCCCTGACAGAATACACCAGCTTAATGTTCAGCTTTACCGACAACTGCCAGGAATTGTGAAGCAGGTGCCCCCATCCTGGGCTGAAAATGAAGAGAATTGTGCTCAATACTTATTAGGAGTTAAATAATAGTTTCCAGCTGTAAATGAATGACTACATCTCCCCGCATTTGGTGTCACCCTGGAAACTACTATTTATTCTTTTGGGTAAACACTGCTGGAGACAAGCTTCAGGTGCCCAGGCAACCTAGCCAGGCTGACAAAGTACTCCATGAGCCCCCTGCACTCACTCCCACAGGCACCTTCATTCTCTCTTGGTCTGCTTCTCTGGGTGGGAGGCCTCAGGAGCCCCAGTACCGAGCTGGGTATGTAAACACTCACTAAGCGGGCAGATTCGCTCGAAGGAGGCCTGCACCTCTGCACACACCTGCAAGTGCTAGGCCCTAACACCAGCATCTGGTGGTCTGTCTGATGTCCACCAGCCCCCACATGTGGCTGTCACTCCAGACAACAGACTTGTTTATGAGCAGTGAATGCTTTGCTCAGCAGGGCAGGCAGAATGACCCCAGACCAGGGCCCTCTCAGTCTCAGAATCTTCAAGCATAGGAGCCCTCCCACACCTACAACCTGTCGGTTCCATTTGACTGCCCCCCCACTCCAGCTGCCTCCACCTCAGGCACCTGTTCAGGAGCATGGCAGACCAGGATCCCAGCAGATGGCTGGTCCTGCAGGCTGAGGACTGACAGATTCTTTGGCCTGTGGCCCACAGAGACAGGCAGACATTGTCATTAGGAAGAAATGAAAACATTGCTCACTGCCCCTTTCCAGTGGGGCACAGAACTTAACCCCATGGCCTCTACAGCAGCCTGTCCCCCTCCTCCCAGTCTCTACACACCAAGCCTTCCAGGCAACATTGGATCGTGGAGGTGAAGTTCATGGATGTGTGTGGAGGAGATAACAATGTGTCAGGTGTCCCCTGTCTCCCTGTCTTCTCCTTCGTGGACATCTGGAGACAGTTCTTCAACGTTCAGGGCTGGCCTGGTGTCTCTCTTCCTCTGGGCTACGAGGACCTGCTTGTTCTTTACAATCACCCGTTTTCCCCCACCCCTTCCTTTTCACCCTTTCTCTCTTTTCCAACTTCCCTTCAGCTCAAGTTGTGTGTGAGAGAAAGAAGGCGGCTCACGTGCCCGGCTGAGGAATGAGATCATTTCTCTCCCCATGTAGCGGGCTTGCTGTCTGCTGGTCGGGGTTACTGGGAGAAAGCAGGACAGCTCGCTCTCCACAGAGAGCCATCTGGCTCCAACAGACTCACGCGGATGCTAATCTATTGGTTTCTTTTTCTTTTATTCTTTCATTCTTTCTTTTTGTTTGCTCCCGAGGAACACTTCATCTGCAGCTGTAAATTCAGACCTGGCCCCGTGAAGGCGAGCGTTCATTCGTGCATTTATTTATTCCTGCATTATGCCCCCTCGCCCCCTCTCCTCTGGTAGGTGTCAGGAAGCCATTGTTATCATTGGTGTGTCTATGTCGTTTTAATGTCAGGGCTGTACTTTCAAATGGAAATCAGGCAATTATGCTCCACATGGAGAAATCTGACAGATGCAGAGGTTTTACACCACTGGCCGTGTGGCAGGGACAAAAGCGACCAGGGCTCCCAGGGGACGGTTAAATAAATAGAATATGTTTCAAGAGTGCAGAAAAATTCAAGAATAATTAACTGCCTGATGAGAGTTCATAGATCCTGTGGCTGTTTATCTTCAGAATGTGATAATGATATGTCAACGAACCGCTTAACTCATCCTTGTAAAGGCAGAGTTAGAAAACTGATTACAATGTGCATTTACACAGAGGCAGACTGCTCTGTGCATCTGTTTTCCGGTTTCTAAATGCAAAGCTTTGCAGTATTTTCACTTGCTGTTTCCCCCTCGCAGGCGTTCTGGTTGGAGAAAGGAGATGGAGGCATGCTCGAAGCCTGATGTCTACCTGATGAAGCACTGTCATGTCTACATTTACTGTTAGCTAATCACAGTGGTATCTACAGTACCAATGGTGTGTAATATCAGTGTTATCTAATATCAGAGGTATCCGCCTGGGAACTCAAGCTGAAAAACATGGCGACAATATCATTGTGGCTATTGTTGGTTGATGCTTGTTTTGCGTCAAGCACCCAGCTAAATATTCTCCATATGTGGCCTCCTATAGTCCTGTGAGTGTGATGTACATAGTATTATTATCCATGTTTCACAGAGGGGAAAATGAGGCATGGGCTAAGTGGAAGAAGTGGCCTTCAGACCTAGCTCTGCCCAACTCTGACCTTAGCTCTCAGCCACTGGGCCCCAGTCCTCCCTAATGTTTCAACAGGAAGAAAGGTAACTACTCACTCACACCCTGTATAAACACTTTCATAATGTCAGACACATAGAGTTGGAGTGAACTAAACAGGAGAGATCTAATAAAAGTTAAAGCTTGATTTTTTCCCTGACATATCCTGCTGTTTAAACAGATAGTTCATTTGGAGCCTGAAAAAGAGTCATCATTCAATGTCTCCAAAGCTGGGTTTACATTAGTCTATTTTATGAAAAAGTAAAGTACCTCCAACTACTGGTCATTGCTCTCTTCTGTTGTGGAAGAAAGAGTCAGGGAGCAGGAGAGGGTGTGTTTGGATTCCAGCGCCCCCTGCATCTCCCCACTAAGCAGCTGCCTTGAAATACACGGAAGCTGATGCCAATTAGAACTCAGAAAAAAGGGAGGACATTTTGTCGCTCAGGAAAAGTATGTTTTAAACAAATGATAAAATAAACACAACAGGTTTACGTAAGAATCTCCAATGCTTTCTCCAATGAATGAGCGCCATCTTGAAAGTCCATGAGGCCCCACTGCAGCGAGCAAACATTAATCAAAGCCAGAGTTATCAGGAGACAAAACGTCTACTAATTTGCTAGGGACTAATAAGCATCAGTCACACCCACCATTATAACTTGTTTTACCTTGTCCAAGGGTAAAGACACATGTAAGGAGACTCACAACCTTTTAGAACATTAGCTTTGTCTTAAGTGAGGGAAAAAAAAATAAACTTCTGCTTACGGAGGAATTAGTTTTCTTTTTTCATCTCTATTGAGCACATTGGTTTGAAAACATTAGCATAATAAGCTTGCATTACAAAAACAAAAAGTACTATTAAAGTAGCCTTTCAGTAGACACCTTAATTAAAAGGATTCAAATACTAGGGGAAAACACGAAAGAGACAAAGTCATAGCTCACTCAAGAATGGATCACTCAAGAGCTCAAGAAAACAGCAGGCACATCGTGTCATGGGAGGGCTGATGCAAGGTCTGGGACAGTCAGAATGAACAACTCTTGTTCCACTGAGACCAAACACTAAAGAATGAAGGGAATCAAAACAGAGAGAAGAAAATGGGAAAACCAATTCAAAGCCAGCCTTAAAACATCTGAAGAGGCTGGGAGCGGTGGCTCACGCCTGTAATCCCAACGCTTTGGGAGGATGAGGTGGGCAGATCACCTGAAGTTGGGAGTTCGAGACCAGCCTGACCAACACGGAGAAACCCCGTCTCTACTAAAAATACAAAAAATTAGCTGGGTGTGGTGGCGCATGCCTGTAATCCCAGCTACTCGAGATTCTGAGGCAGGAGAATCGCTTGAACTCGGGAGATGGAGGATGCGATGAGCCGAGATCACACCATTGCACTCCAGCCTGGGTGACAAGAGCAAAACTCCGTCTCAAAAAAAAAAAAAAAATTCTGAAGAACAAAAATAGAGGTCAACAGTCCTCAAAATACATGTCATAGCTGATGTCATTCAATTGGTTAATGTCCATAATCAATTATTTTCACATAATAGCTTTCCACAAATAAATTTGGTTAACATCTTCATGATAAGATTTTTACATAGCAAAAACTATTTTAAATTAAGCATTAAACAAAAATTAAGATTCATTTACAGAGGAATCTCGAACACTTCCCCAGATTCAACAAGTGCTATTGTGAAGTTCAAGATGCGCAATTGCAGGGATGATTTATTAACTAAACAGAACCTGAGGTGTCTACTAATTTACCTGTGATTAATGAACACCAGAAACAGACACACAATCATTAGTCAGTTTACCTTCCCAAGTAGAGAAAATCATTTAGAAAGCCATTCAAAAGCTTTTGGCCATCAACTTATTTTAGGAAATAAAATTTTAATAATTTTCATTGATTAAAATAATCTTGTGATTATGACTTTTTAAAAAATGCTTGTGATTGGCAAAATCAAAATTGATTTTGACCCAGCTCTTCCAAAAAGAAAAAATGTATATGTATGTGCATGTGTGTGTATTTATGTGTGTGTGTATTTTAATATTAGCCCACCTCTCAGGTGACATATGCACTGTGACAATACAGGTGACTATGTATGCCTATCACCATAATACCTAAGCATCTTAAGAAAAGTAAAGCAAGCGACTGGCCAGAGAGGGTACAGGTAAATCAGTAGGGTTGCAACAGTATGGGAAGGCTTTCCATTAGTAATACATAAAAATCAAACTTCTTCACACCTGATCACGGACAACGTGAACTTTGAAAAACCATGTCATTTATTAGAAGGAGACTAAAACAGCACAATGGACAGACCACATGAAAAACACGTGGAACTTTTCAGATGACACTTTCTTACCCGTAAGAAAAATCATTTCAGAGCGAGCCCCATGGGGTTCCTCAGGATAAAAGAGTCACAGAATTCAGATGGACCAGGTTGGAGAAATGGTAGAAAGCTGCTGATTTAGATTAAAATATTAAGAGTGGTCATATTTAGGAATGAGAATTATGGGTGACTTTATTTTTCTTCTTCATTCTTTTCTGAGTTTTCCAAAGTATAGTGTGATGGCTTTTCAGCCTGATTCTGCAGCTGCTTGGCTCGTGCAAACCATTTCTCGCCTTTGGACCCTGAAGGTCCTTTCTGTGGGAGGGAAACTATCATAGTGCCTACTGCAAAAAGTTGTTACAGTGATGAGTGACATGGTGCTGGCAAAACATATAGTGCCTTGCACATGTAACTCTGCAATAAATGTTAACTAAGAGAAAAATTCTGTCTACAGATGAAGTCTGTAAGGGTTTTTATAGAATAAGTGGAAATCCTAAATCTTAGTGGTGAAGTCAATATGCCTTCCTATTGCCACATCGCCTGGTCACCTGGTCTGAGCGAGAAGCCCCTCTAATTCCTTCTCTGTGCTTTGTTGTCTTTCAGGATTAAAGTTTCTTGATATATGTATGGAATACTTCTTAGATTTATTTCCGGTTATTTAAACTTTTTTGTTGTTCTTGAAAGTGTAAAAGGGTCTTTTTTTCCATGACATCTTCTACCCAGCAGTTGCTTAAATGTATAAAACCTTTTGATATTTATATATTGATTTTATATTAAGCTACCTTACTGAATTATAATTTTTATAATCTTTTTCAGATGATCCTCTTGAGTATTCAAATATAAAATCTGCAAATAATGATAATTTTACTTCTTTTCAATTTGTATATGCCTATTTTCTCTCTCTTATCTAACTGTTTAGAACATTCTTATCGTACTCCTGACTTTAATGGTAATGCTACTGATATTTCTCCACTAAACATAATGTTGACTTTTATTTTGTATATATTAGGGAAGTACACATCTATTCCTATTTCACTGAATTATTTTGAGATCAATAAAGGAAGTTGAATTTTACCAGGTATCTTTTTTTTTTTAAATACAGGAAGGGGTTTAATTGACTCACAGTTCCACAGGGCTAGGGAGGCCTCCGGAAACTTACAATCGTGGCGGAAGGGGAAGCAAACACGTCCTTCTTCACATGGTGACAAGAAAAAGTGCTAACAAGTATCTTTTAAGTATTTAAGGAGATTAATACCTTATTTCTTTCTCAGATAACAAAAATGGTAAGACTTCCTAATATTGAACCATCTCTAAATTATGAGTAGACCCCACTTTGTCACATTGTATTATTCTTTTAATGAATTATTTGAGCCTACTTGGTAATATTTTATTTAATATTTTTGCATTAATATTTACAAGTAAGCTTGTTTTTATTGAATTCTACAATCACCAGGTTTTAAAAAATCAGTATTTTGCTCACTTTTTTGTCCTGTTTAATAAATCTTTCCTGTACCCATATCAATTTCATTTTGCTTGGTTTTCTTATTTTTAACCTTAGATCTAAGCTCTTGTGCTATTATTATTGTCTATCTTCCTTCAAACACATCTTTGTTTCTTTGATGGTTTACTTCTTCCCCCATGTCTACCCTGTAGTGCGCCAGCTCGAACAACGTCACTTGTCTTTCTATCACTTCCATGATTCTTCCCTCTCTACTTTGTGCCCAAACTTCATAGAGGTAATTGTTTCATTAAGTATTTTATGTTTGTAGTAAAATACTTTTTATTATTTTTATCTGCTCTTTGGCAACATTTTATCTGCCATTTACTTTTTCTGGTCTTTTTTTTTTCTTGTTTTATATTTTGTATCTTTGAAATAACTTGGGTTTGCTCTTTTTGGTTTCTCATCTTTGAGGCACAAGAGTTTTCCTTGGGCCAAATATTTACAGGGCCACATCCCAGCCTAGTAGGAATTTTCTTTATAAATCAGGGTTTTGCATGCAAGTTTTAGATCTATTTCTCCCTGATCAATAAAGACAGGCAGCTATGGGGTTTTTTTAAAAAGCCAGCGTCTCTCTTCTTTCCCTCTGCCACCGAGATAGATAGTTCCTGCAAATGTTGTGGATGTGTGATTTTTTTTTTAATCCCATCATCTCTTCATTTCACAACTAAATTGGGTCTTGGAGAGTTCTTGCTACTCTGGTGTGTATACTGGTTCCTTCTGTCATAAACATGTGACTTAGACTTTATTCTTCACCTCTGCCCTCCCTGTTTACAAATGTATTTCTGCTGACTCGGTCTCATTTCCACAGCCATGAACTCTTCCTTCCTCTTTCTCCTGGAAGCTCCCCTGCTTTTTGCAGCCCTTCCATCCATCTATTTGTTGTTCATAGCTTAAAATATCCCCTAGTTTTACTGAAAATTGATTTTTTGGTTTCCATTTCTTATTTTCCTTTTGCTTTGGATGATTTCAAAGAAGAGATTGGGGGTGGGAGGTGGGGACAGGGGATGAACTTCCCACATCCATCTTCAAATCAGAAATACTAGTATTTCAAAACTTCAGTGTGAGTAATCTAATGGGTAAAAGGCAGCTATTTCTGAAAATCTTTCAAAGAAAAACAATATGCGATTCATTTTATAGAGCACATGGACATTGAAACCTCAAGGTGGATTTAAAGCATTCAGGGTATTTTCTTAACTTATCACTTGGGAAAGTCATCTAATATTTCTAGGCCCCATTTTTCCAATGAAGGGGTTTGACAAGAAGATTCCTAGAGCCTGAAGACAGAACAGCCAAAACCCAAGGTTTAATTCCAAGAAATGAATAACTGGTGGTAGTATATAGGCTCAGGGATACTTGGATTGAGGAGAAGTTTGGGGCCTTGGAGTAGAAAGAGAACTAACTTGTATTGAGACATGATTATGTGCCTGGCTCTGTGCTAGGAATTAAATATGTGAATATTCTGGGGAGATGAGAAACTGGGGAGATACTATGATCACCTCTACTTTAATGCCATAGAAAATGAGGTTCTAAGAAGTTAAAGGACCTATTCAAGATGGCAGAGCTAGGATGGAAATCCTGGCCTTTCTAGCCTTGAAGCCCAGTATTCTCTCCCAGAGAAATATACAGAGGCATGCAGGCCTGTCCTGCCTGAGATTCATGGGCTGGTTACACTCCAGCCACTGCTGCCTCTGTCGCCCTGTCTTCTACTCTAGCTCCATGGCAAATATTTAAAAACCAGTCCTTTTCATATACATCATACTGATTTAGTCTCTAATCATGAATCCAACCAAAATATCTGGATCCCTTCTGCCATCAGTCCATGGTGACCAGATCCAGGCTGTGTTAGGGGTCACTGCATTCAGCCTGCACTCTGGAAATTACACTCCAAACAAGAGAGTATTCATTTACTAAAGTTTTAACAAACGCATTCAGGCAAGTTATCCATTTAAAAA